ATCCGCCGCATTCAGGGGAGGGACCCCTGATGGCCGACCTGATGTCAGGACCCAATGCACCGCTTACCAGAGCCTTCATCTTTTGCGGCTGGAGATGCATCACCATTGACTGGTTGATCAACCCTCAACATGACCTCGCGCACCCGGAGTTTCAGCAAGAGCTTCACGAGATGTTGCAGCAAGCCGATTGCATCTGTGCCGCGTTGGACTGTAGCACCAAGTCCCGCGCTCGAGAGATTCCCAGGAAGTTCGAGGACGGCCGACCCGCTCCGAAACCCCTGCGGTCAGACGAACACCCCACAGGCCTTCCACACCTCCGAGGGAGTGACCTTCGGCGAGTGACCAAGGACAACCAGGCCTGTGACTTTGTCCTCCAGGAGATCCAGGAATTGGCCGATCGCGGTGGAGTGTCACTGCGGGAGAATCCGGCGAGGAGCCTCCATTGGGAACTGCCCCGTGAGAAGCAGATGTTGGCGTCCGGCGATTGGCAGGACACCTGCTACGCAGCCTGTTGCTTCATGGGGGCGCGGTGCAAGCAGCAGAGACTCAGGCACAACATCCAGGAGATCTCCCAGTGGCCGCCACTCCAATGCCATCATCAGCACGACCCAGATGAGTGGAAGCCCTACACCTTGGATGGGCAGCGAGTCTTCCCTAGCCATGAGGAAGCTGAGTACACAGCCCCGCTGGCCTTCGCCATTGCGGTGTCCACTAGCTGGTGGGCAGTACGTGTCGGTCGAGCCAAGTTGCGCGTCCCTCGGATGCCGCCGACTGAGGCTGTGGGCCGCCGGGAGCACTGGCTTCACTATGACCCCCGCTCTCTGCGCAGCTGGGCTATGACTCCTTTGGCGATCCAGCTGGGCCTGCGACCAATCGACCCGCGCGAGCGTGCACGAGTGCCTCGCGTGCGCCGAGCAGTTGACCTTTTGGTGGACGGCCACCTCCCCGCCAAGTGCATCTACGTAGGGCGAGGGCATCACAGCCACAAGTTGCCCCTGTCGAAATGGTGCTCTCCGTACACCCCAGGACACGATTGTACCGCAGATGAATGGCTTCCTTGCTATGTTGAGTTCATCATGTCATCCAAGGCGGCGGAACTCCCAGAGCTGGCGGGCTGCACCTTAGCCTGCGATTGCCCACATGACAGTGACGTTTGCGAAGCCGATGCGCTGGCAGGGTTGGTTTTTGACGCCACAGCCCCGGAAGCACCTCGCTACCTGGCAGCGGCAGGAGGGCAAGCCCAGAGGCATCACTCGATAGCATCTTGAGCATTGCGGTTGGGGGTCATCTCCAGCCGCGGAGTGGCTGCGAGCATCCCAGCACGAGTGGGCCTATTCACCCAAGAAGGCGTTGTCACGTGCTTCCGCCGCCTCTTCCCAGGTACATGGTTCCAAGACTTCAAGTTCCCGATGATCGAAGACCTCCTGAATCAGGCACCGTTCTGCGAGTTTCCACGCTGGAGAGACCAGCACGATCTCAAGGCAGATGGGCCCCTGGGACCACATTTGGCTAGCGCAGCTTTGAGGCAGCGGCAACGTCATGCCGAGGGCCAGCAAGCCGGAGCTTTGAGCCATAGAGCCGCCCTACCTCCGCTTTTGAGTTTTGGGCTGGACCCGGACACCCACTTTCAGCGTGCTTGCCTTCGAAGCCAGGCACCCATCCCGACTGAGCAGTCGCCCCTTCTGGACGATGATCTATGGTTTGTGGCTGAACTCTATGCATCACGTTCCGAGGACCTACCACGACTCCGCGAGCAGAGCCTAGGCGTCTTGAAGGAGCTGAAGCAGCGATGGAGGAGCGTGGGCGAGCACCTGCGGACTTTCCAAACATCAGCGATTCGGGCAGTCACCCGTTCCAGGGACATCGGACTAACAGCCCTCTTGGTGACCCTAACGTCCTGGGCGGATATCACGTACCCTTACGGCTTGGTAGCGGGACTGCCAGCTGTAGGTACGGCACCACCCTACGGGGTCTTTCCGGAGCAGCCAGGCCGTATCCTCACCATGGAGGACGTGCTCGACGACTGGGAAACCCACAATTACAAGACCCTCGCCTCGCTCAAACCCGGCAGACATGATGCCGTGCTGCTGGAGCAATCGCTGAACGATGCCGCCCAAGGTTTCTGCTCTGCGCCTTTGACCCATGCGCAGCTCCTGCGAGAACTACGAGGAGAACCATTCCGCCTCATCCCCCGATGTGTGATTGTCCAATCCTCGGGCAAAAAGCGGATCATTGACAATGGAGATACAGGAGGCCAGTCTGAGAGGTCGTCGGATTGGAACAAGTTGGTTTTATGCTCGCCGCTGCGCCCAGCACAACATGTGGGGGCGGTCGCTTCACTGTTGACAGACAAACAGTGGCACACTCTTACGACTGCTGACGAGTGGCTGTCAGGAGGGGAAGATTGGCCGAACGCTTATCGGCATTCCCCTATCAGTCAGGCAGAGAGCCGCGGCTGTATCGTCTGCTTCTGGCATGCCGAGCGGGGGGAACCCGCCTTTCAGGTGTATTCATCCCTCCTCTTCGGCCTTCCGCTCGCGGTTACGTCGTTCAATCGGTATTCCCGCCTCATTGAAGCCCTGGGCCGACGGCTTACATACAGTCTGGTGTCGCTATATTTCGATGATGCCCACATCACGGACCTCCAGTCAGGATTCGGCTCCAGCCAACAAGCTTTCTGTCAGTTGAACTCCCTCTTAGGTACCCCGTTTGCCGAGGAGAAGAAACAGTTGATGCAGCCTACCGGTACCTTTCTGGGCCTTGATCACGACTTTACGAACCTTAGCCGGGGCTTCGTGACGTTTTGGGCCCGAGATCGATTGATTCAGAAGACAGCTGCGATGATCACCGATGCGCAGGCACACAAGAGCCTGTCCTCAGGCCAGGCACCCAAGCTCTACGGCGTGCTCAATTTTCTCGAGCAGGGCATGTACGGAAGGTTGGGATGCGCAGGTTTGGCAGCCATTGAAGCACGCCAGACAGAGCGCAACCGCGACCTCACTCCAGAGCTTCAGCGCAACTTCGATGTGATTCACTCCATCCTTCGCCATCGACCCTGTCGCGAACTTCCTGTGAGGCCGTCCGAATGTTTGCGGTTTGTTGTAGCTTCTGACGCAGCTTTGGAGGAACCAAAGCAGGGCACAGGAGGATTTTTAATCGTCTGGCACGATCCGGTGGGACCGGTGCGGGAAGCCTTCATCGCCAACATTTCTCCGGAAGTTTACCAGCTGTGGGAGCCCGGTGACAGGCAGATAGCCCAGTTGGAGATGGTGATGATCATTTATGCCCTCACATATCGGGCGCAGACCTTTCGAGGTCGTCGGGGCATCTGGCTGATCGATAACGTCGCTAGCCTCATGTGTCTGATCCGGGGCCGTTCCCAGTCACCCGATCTGGAGCGCATGTGTGGTTTGATTCATGTCATGCTGTACGCTTTGCGCACTTGGATGTATTGGGAATACATTCCGTCTAAGAGTAATTGGGCCGACGCCATTTCAAGACTAGGTTGGTCCGATCCGTGGTGGCGAACCAACGGATTCACCCCTTTTTCCGTCTCTTGCCCGCTCTGCCTTTGGCACCTTCCGCTGCCAGCAGTGATCCGAGTCGTAGAATTTCTCTAAGTGCGTTGGGAGGATTTGAAGTGCATTGGGAGTGGTTTCCGGAGTGACCGGAAGGATACCACAAGGGTCTGATT